GATCCAGATATCTTTGGGATCCCTTATTCAGCTTATGAAGTGACATTTGAGTTTCTATTTTGGGATTTTGTTTGAAATGAGGATTCTATGACTGAGATAGACCTAAAAAATCACTTGGCTATGTTGTTTCTTTTTTTAATTGATTTTAGAGGGAGAGAGGGAGAGAAAGAGAGAGAAAGAGAAACAAGATTTGTTGTTCCACTTATTCATTCATTCATTCATTGGTTGATTATTGCAAGTGCCCTGAACAGGCATCAAACCTGCAACCTTGGCATATTGGATGACACTCTAACCAACTGAGCTACCCAGGCAGGGCTAGACTGTGCTTTTTTATGTACTATCTTTGTCCAGTTTGTTTAGGTATCCATTAAGTACAATGCATATTTATGCATAAATATATGTAAAATACACTGAGATGTGACTGTTCTTTAAGAGTATAAATAAAATTACAACTATTTGATCTTTCCACATTTGATAGGATTTGTCCATAAAAAAATATAAATTCAGTATCTTTTCCTGGCATAGTTCTGATATGTTTTCAGTTTCTTCCTTTATTATTGATCTATTTTGGTTTTAAAAATTTCTTCGTAAGTGTGTTTTTATAGTTTATATTCTAACATATAATGATCTTATCTAGATTTCAAAATTTAGACGCACATAATTTTCAACTATTTCTGTGAACAAAGCTTTGATCTTGATCTTAACATTCTGTACTTTATTTTTACCTCTCTCTTTCAGTCACAATTGCCAGCAGGTTTTTAAAAAAAATCTTAATAGCCTTTTATATTAAAAATAGCTCTTGATTTTATTAATCATTTCTATCCTTTCTTATAAAATGACTAATTTATGGTTAGTTTTTTAATTTCCTCCCTTCTACTTTGCTTTGGTTTATTTTGTAGTTGTATACCTAGAATGTTGACATGAAAGTTTATATACTAGTTTGATTTTTCATGCTTAATAATACAAAAGTGATGTTATCAGTTTCTTTCCATGTATATCGATTGCCTCCCCGAATTAGTAAAAGGCATGCTCATTACTATTCATTTCTATATAATATGACTTTAATTCTGATTTTTTTGGCCCAAGAATTATTTAAAAGAAGGTGTTTTAGTTTTCACTTGGTTAGGTTTTTGCAAATTAGCTTTATTGAGGCATCGTTTATGTAAAATAACATTTACCAATTTTAAATATGCAATTTGATGAGATTTGACAAGTATATAGTCATTTAAACTTCACAATACTAATTATATAAAACATTTGGTTCACCCCCAAAATTCCCTCCTGTCCCTTTGCAGTAATTCTCTCCACCTATCTCTAGTCTCTGGCTACCACTGACCTGCTTTTTTGTTTTGTTTTGTTGTTATAAACAGATATTTAAGAAACAGTTTTATTGAGGTCTGATTGATATCCAGTAAATGCACATATTTAAATTGTACAATATAAGTTTTGAAATATGTATATACCCATGAAACAATCACTGTAAACAAGATAATGAAGATATCCATTGCTTGCACATTTACCTTTCAGTTACTTAGATTGTCAGGCTATGCAGCCTTGTACCAAGGTCCTCTGCAGACATCTTTCTACTGTGGTACGCATCCCTGAGCTAGGGTGGGGTCAGCTGTGGGCTGGACTCAACCTGTGGTGCAGTGAGCAGGTGAATGGACCCAAAGCACCTCTAGGGGGAGGTGTTGCCTAAGGCCACTTTCTTGCCTAAACACTGCCCCCCCCCACCCCCGCATCTAACCAACATATTGTTACATAAAATAGAACTTGTTACCCACACTGTTAACAAATTGCTCAAGCGGATTTCAAGCGGTGTGCCTCAAGAGGCACACTGGTGTATTGCAAGAATTTTTAAACTATGCAAAAATGATAACTGCGAACACAACGATAGCTGTCCACTGTGAATGAATCAAAAGTATACCTCTTTGGGAGTCAGATCAGCAAATACATATACATATATATGTGTGTACATATAATATATATAATGCATATTATATATAATATAATATATATTATATTATTTATATAATATAAATAATATTATATTATTATAACATTATAATAATTTATTATAAATTTATATTATAAATTAATATAAATATAATATAATATATATTTATATTATATAAATATAATATAAATTAATATAAATAATTTAAATATATTTATAAATTTATAAATATAAATTAATATAAATATAATATAAATATAAATATAATTTATAATTATAAATTATAAATTTATATTATATTATTTTGGTGTGCTGCATAATTTTAGTAATTGGTTTGCATGTGCCATGAGATGAAAAAGGTTGAAAAATCACAGCTCCATATCTGAAATGACTTTAAAAATTGCTTCATTATTATGATTCAAAGGAAGGTGTAATGAAGTCTCCCACAATGATTTTGTGAATTTCTAATAGTTTAGCTTTGCATGCTGACATTCTATTTTTGAGAACACAATGGTTTATTATGTATTCTACACAGATTGTACCTTTAAATTTTTATTTATTTTGAAAACATTTTTAGATTTTAAAAATTTTATTTATTTTTAGAGAGAGGTGAAGGGGGGGGAGAAAAAGAGGGAGAGAAACATCGATGTGCAAAAGAAACATCAGTTGGTCGCCTCTTGCATGCCCCCAACCAGGAACCCAGCCCACAACCCAGGCATGTGCCTGGACCAGGAACTGAACCAATGACCTTTCAGGGCAGCACTCCATCCACTGAGCCACATTAGCCAGGGTTTACTGTGTGCTTCCTTATATGACATCCTTGTTCTTTAATAGGGGAATTTAACTCATTTATGTTTATTATGATCATCCATGTGCTTGGTCTTATTTTGTGTGTTCTGATTAAAATACATTCCTTTTGTAATCCTTTCCTGGGCCAATCAGGTTTTCTTGTTTCTCCTCTCCCCAGTAGTTTTCCCCTTTATTTTATGCTAAAAGTTATCATTAACTGTTAATAAAAACCTTAAAAACTATATTTGATCAAGAAATAAGAATTTCTCCAATGTCCCCCTCCCTAAATCAAACAAAGATCTTTGGTAAATTTTATTTTCCCTGTTTTACCACAAAGTCTGTTGAAATAGTCTAGAATTTCATTTCCAGATAATTAATTTCTATTTTAAACATATATATTTTCTATTTCAGAAATCCTTTCCAAACAATTGCATTTATTGCACAACCATCTTCAAACAATGCTTTAAACTTGATTAATCTCTTTTTCTCATTTTGCACTGCTCTTTCTCATCGGTGTATCTTCCCATGTAGAGTCTGACTTTTTTTTCCCCCCCAAGTCCTTGACTTTCATCAGTTTGTCATTCTACTGGATTTAAAAGCGTGGGTCTGGAAGGTAGTCCAAGTTTTGGCACTTACCTGCTGTGTGACATGGCATATTTCTTAACTTCTCTGTGCCTTAGTTACATTATTTAAAAAAGGGACTAATAATAGTACCCACATCCTAGAATTGTGAAGACTCTGGAAATGGAATAAAGCAATGAATAAATGGGGAAGTTAAGGATGTGTTTCCTTCCTCCTACCTCTCAAGAAGCTCTCACTACTAATCCTCCTGCTCCCTGTGCCCAGTGGTGGAACAATTTTATTATTCCTTCATTATTAAAAAAACTGAGATATAATTTACATATCATAAAATCCACCCTTTTAGGAGCACAATTCAGTGATTTTTTAAAAAATATATTTACAAGGCTGTGCGACCGTCACCACTAATTCTAGAGCATCATCATCCCAGAAAATACCCTGCACCCAGGCCCTGGCCGGTGTGGCTCAGTTGGTTGGAGCATCTACCTAAACTAAGGGTTGTAGATTCCATTCCCGGTCAGGGCATTTACTTGGGTTGTGGGTTCGATCCACGTCTTGGCGCATACCAGAGGCAACCAATGATGTTTCTATGTTTCTCTCCCTTCCTCTCTCTCTAAAGGCAATGAAAAAAAAAAAAATTTCTCAGGTGAGGATTTAAAAGAAAAGAGAGGAACCCCATATTCATTAACAGTACCCTGCCCCCCACCTCCGCGTGGAGCCACTTATGTACTTCCTGTCTTTATAGATTTGCCCATTTTGGACATTTCCTGTAAACGGAATCTCAATAATACGTGGTCTTTTGTGTGGAACTTCTAGCTGGTTTTCAGAGTGCATCTAGGTTGTTAGGTGTGGATTCTTCCCTCCACGAGTGTTAGTTTCGTACTTAAATGCTGCACACACAGAGGAACGAAAAAGCTCCCTCTGCAGAACCAAGCACGGAGTACTTAGCGGCCATGAAAGGAAAGAGTGAACGAGAGGCGGCCGGAGAGGGAGGACGGAGTGCCCAGTGAGCAGAAAGCTGTGTTCTGGCCTCCGCCGGCAGGCAGGCAGCTGCGGGGTGCTCCACTTCACAGGCCCAGGTGAGGCCCACCTTGGGTATCACCGTCCTGACTGCGGGGACCAGGAGTCACACTTCACCTGCGCTCCCCGGGACTCCAGAGGAGGACGCGATGTATATTTATTGAGCATCTACTGTGCGCCAGGTACTCGGGACACGGCGTAGAGAGGAACGAAGGCGCTGGCAGTGAAGGAGCTCGCGTAGCGGGCGCTCCGAGACCCCCGTCCGCGGTGGTCGTCATTGCTGGTATTTTCAGTGTTGGGACTGTGGAGACTGGCCCGGGGTCGGTGCCGCAGGGAGGGCGGGGGTTGGGGGCCGGAGGCTCGCTGGGAGGCGCGGGCACGACGGGGAACTGAGGTGAGCGCAGGGTGAGACAAATGCGGAGAGAAGTTTGCGTGGAAGAGGGGCGTAGCCTCGGAGCGCCCCGCCTATCAGGCCCCGCCTCGTAAGGCAACACCCTGCAAAAGCAAAGGGCGGAGCCACAAGGCGCCCCGCTCCTCTCCGTACACGGTGGCGCAGGGGGCGGAGCCTGAGACGCCGCGCCCCTAGCTCAGGAGGCGGAACCCCAAGACGCCCCGCCTCGTCGTGCGGGGCGGAGGGGGAGCCGGTGGCGGGCCGCACTGCAGCGCGAACGCGCGAGCGGGTGGCGGTGGACAGAGCGCGCGGCCGGGCCCGAGCGAGGAGCGGGCGTAGCGCAGGCAGACAGGCCACAGCCGCCCCTGGATCCCGTCCCGCCATGCCGTCCTGCAGGCCCCGCCTGAGTCGCGGCCGCCAGCGCCGGGCGGGCTTGGGGTCGGGGCCATGAGCTCGCTACCCTGACGATGCGGCCAGCCCGCCTGGCGCTCGCCCTGGGCCTGGGCCTGTGGCTCGGGGCGCTGGCGGGGAACCCCGGGCGCGGCTGTGGGCCCTGCGCGCCCCCTTGCCTCTGCATCCCCGCGCCCGGTGCCGCCTGCCGCGTCAATTGCTCCGGCCGCGGACTGCGGACGCTCGGGCCCCCGCTGCGCATCCCAGCGGACGCCACCGCGCTGTGAGTAACTCGCTGCCCCGCAACACTGGCCGGGCGGTTGCCATGGAGCCAGGCGGGCGTGAGGACCTTGTGGGGCGGTGGGGGCCTAGCGGGGCGCAGGGCGTCCGGAGGCCTCCGCGCGCCTGCACCCTCCTGGGAGAGGCCCGGCCGGGCGCGCCGCCGGCCTGGCGGGCCTCGCAGGGCGTGGGCGCGTCCCCGGCCTCTAGAAGGGGAAACGGAGTGCGGGCCAGGCCTTTCCCAGGGCGAGGCTCCAGCGTAGTGAGGTCGGCCCGACTAAATAAGGAAAACTTGGGATCGCGGCCGGCTGTCAGCCCGCCTGGCGTGGGCCAAAGGGAAAGAGAACAATCCCGGTTTCTGTGAAAGCAGAGACATCCCACCCGGTGGGGCTCTGCAAACGCGAGCTGATGGGGGGCCTGTGGCAGCATGCGGGGGCGGAGTGGGGCGGTCTCTGAACGGAGTCTGCAAACACTTAAACGCTAATTAGAGACTAATAGGATTGTGCCTGGCGGGTACCCAGCACCTGAAAGCCAAGAAGGACGCGAAGAGGCAGGGAAGGCTTCCCCGTAGAGGTGATGGACAGGGATTTGATGGATGTATAAGAATTGACCTGAAACTTAAGGATGGGCAGGAAGGTGTGTCTAGGGGAAGGGAGGAGGGAACCTAGTGTGCCAAGACCTGGAGGCTGAACTTGGTTGTGTGTAGATGTAGGGTACATCCCCAGTGTGGCAGCTTGCAGGGAAAGTGTGAGGGAGTGGGGGCCCCACAGGAGGTGGGCAGGGATGCTGAAAGGCCTCGAGTGTCCTGCCTAGGGCTCTGAGGTTATCCTGGGACTAGCGAGCGCCTGGGGTTTAAAATTTCAAAAAACTGTTTTCAGGTTTGCATTTTGGAGGTAGTAATGAGTCAGCCTTTATGGATTACTTGCCTTGAGTGAGGTCCTATACCAAGTTCTTATTGTGGTTGTCATGCTTAACTCTCACCCTAATCCTCTGAGGTGAAGGTACAATGAAGATCACTGTTTTACAGATGAGAAAACTGAGATGAAGGTGATGCAGTTTGTCCAAACACAAGTATCAAGTAAAAACCAGTACATGGCAGAGCTGGGTTGGACTGTGAGGTGCCCAGGATCCAGAATTGGGATAAAAAATTTGCAAGAGACCAAGAGTTGCAGTTTTTCCTGGCGCTGGGGGGAAGGCTCAGGGCCTGCTGATCCACATCCCTATGGTCCTGTTTGGATTTCTTGGGCACTTCCAGGCATATAAGACAGGACTCCATCTCTTCTTGGCTGCAGATTGTTAAATCTGGGGGTAGGCCCTGGCATTCAGTGTTGTAACATTGTTCCGTGGGTGACTGCAGCATGTGGCCATTTTTAATCAGGGGGCCTGGTGGTCAGTATTTGGATTTTGGGGGTGGGTGGGAAGTAGGGGTGTGTGCTTCTCCTGAATGTTCTAGCTGTTCTTGGGGCTTTGCCAGGTGGACTTGGGGGAAGGTTCTCCAGGACCAGCCGGGAGCCACGGGGGCTGTGCCGGGCCATCATCCTGCTCCATGAACACTAAAGCGTTTGCTGTCTTTGCTGTCACTTTCGAGATGAGCGCCCTGCCTGCCACAGCGCTCCCATAGTTGCATCAGACCCACCCTACCCCTAGTTTCTTGATGCTGTGGGCGAAATTACCTTTGTCCCTGGTGGGCTGGGAGCTGCTGGGGATCTCGGCTGGCTCCTGCTGACTCATCGGAGCTGGCCTCTGGGAGCTATCCAGGGAATAAATGATGGTGGTGGGTCTGAACTGCATCAGGGCACATACTCAGGAGGCCCTAGGAGACAATGATGGGGTCCAGGGCTAGTGCCTTGGCATGTGTCCCCTTAGACTCTTCTTCTGGTTTTTGGAGGTGTTGGGAGCTGGCAGCCTGGACCAGCCTGCGCTGGCAGGATTCCCAGGGTTGTTGGCCCCTCTGAGTGTGTGACAGGACCCTGGGAAGTAGGTGGATGGGGAATAGAAACTTCACGCTCTTCTTTACATCCCCAAGCTGTTTCTGTGAGATTTCCAGAGGCTGGGGACGAGAACCCAGGGGAAATTGGGCCCTTGGGTACAGATAATAAGGCATCCACTGGTTCCCCATGTGCACTCTGTGGACTGCCCCAGCCATTCTGCCTATCAACCCTCTGACCGCCCTCCTCAAAGAGAGGGAGATAGGTGAGTTTTCTCTTCTCCAAGAGAGAAAGGCTGAGATTGGAGTAGCCAGGGAGGCTTCTGGGCGAATGTACGCGTGTGTGGGGGACCCAGCAACCTCCTCTTGCAGGCTGGGGCCTGGTGCCTCTGTTATCAGTGTCTTGCAGCCACCCCTCTATTTGAGACTCCTTGGCCAACCTGAGATGTGGCAGGACAGCCAGGTCAAGACCTGGGTGGAAGTCTAGCCCATGTGGTACTCTGGGCTACCGGCGCTCCGAGCCCCCAGCCTTCCTTGGGTTAACCCATACTACCTGGAGGTGGCAGCCTGAAAATGGCGAGGTCAGCAAAATGCTGCTGCTCTGCTCTTAAAACTTTATCATGGAGAATTTGAAGATATATAGAGGCAGAATAGCCTGGTGAACCTCATGGACTCACTGCTCTGTGGCTTATCCTGCCCCTCCACACCCTGAGCCATTTTTAAAAAATATATTGTAGCATCTCATGTAATCTGTAAGCATTTTGGAGTGTATGGCAGCACCATGATCATACCTACAACAGTGAGTAATACAAGTTCAGTGTGTTCAAATTTTTGGCTGTCTTAGTTAGTTTTAATAATTTGAATTAAGATTCAAATAAGGTCCACACAGTACAATCTGTTGATGTATAGGCTTCGCCTTCCTTGCTTTTTTGCCTTGTGTGATTTGAGACTGGCTTCAACAGTGCCTGGTCTATGTGCAGTCTCCATCGCCTCATCCACTGTATCCCTCTGCCCTCTGCTTCCTCTTGATTGATATTTGGGTCCAGAGCTGCACTGTGTGGCAAGTCACATTTCAAGTGCTCTGGAGCCACTTGTGGCCAGCAGTTACTGTGTTGGAAAGGACAACACTAAGACAAAATTTCATTACCACTGAAATTTCTAGATGTGGCAGCACTGCTGCTCCAGGTGTGGTTGACTTTGGCTAAGCATTTCTCACGTATTGTGTGTGGCTAATTTTGACCAGGGGCCCATACTAGGTTTTATGGACTGCCTTGTGCATGTTTCAGGTCTGGGACTAGGCTAGAAACAGGAATTCAGTAGGGACTTGGTTTGCTGATAGTCTCTTGGCTGGGAGCACTCAGGGCCTCACTTCCTTGCCTGTAACTCTAAATAACAGGAGAGTGTGCGGGAGCCTCAGCCCCTGGTGTCTGCACAGGACATGCATGTGAGGGAAGGTGAGCAAACCCCTGGACTTGGTCTGGGCCTAGTGTGTGTGTAACATGTTAGACTGCAGGTGCCACATGTGTTGCTTGCCTGAAGGGCTGGCCCGGCAACAGAGGATCCCCTCTGTGAGCCCCGGGCATACGGAGGGCCTGACTGCTATGTGCCAGCCCTGTGCCAAGGGTCTTGTGAGGGTCAGTTATGTGGCAGCCAGTGTTGAACCAAAGACACAGATGATGAGGAGGGGTCCACTTTGGAGGGGCTGCCAGGAAGGTCCCCTCCCAGTGTAAGTGACATTGAAGTCAAGATTCAGTGCTTGCACAGGAGTCATCGAAGGATTGGCGAGAGTATCCCAGGCAGAGGGGACAGCTTGGGAGAGTCTCAGATAGCGGGGTGGGAGGTGGGGCCTTTATTGAGAGAGCAGATAGGGGTAGCATTGAAGGATCTAGAGGGAAGTGGCATGGTTGGCATCTTCTAGAAGGAACACTGTATGCTGTGTGGAGATAGCAGGTATTGGGAGGACCTGCGTGTCCTGCACACTCTGCTGGCCTCACACTCACCTTCCCTGAGCTGCAGCAACAGCTGGCACTTGGGAAATCAGATGCTAAATGTGTGTGTAATGTTTGTTTCCTGATGAGACACAATGCAGATTTGCCAGAACTGTGGACAGGAGGGCACATACACCTCTGTATGTGGTCCCCTGAACAGGGACTGCAGAGTGGAGAACATGTGCAAATCATCTGTCTGATGAGGGACTTGTAGCCAGAATATACAAGGTCCAGCAGAAGTAACGCCTGCTTGAGTGTGGTTGGTAGGGTAATAGTATGGGAGCAATAATTTATAGTTTTAATTTGAACATTTCACTTAAAACATCATATGGTGTGCTTGAGTGTGATATTGTTATGTTACAGAATTACATGCATATGATTTTGTAACAAAAGATTTTGTGCCAGACTCTGTATAGAAAACCCTTATGCCTCAATGCAAAAAAGACAAATGACCCAATTTAAAAGTAGGCAAAGGATTATCTCCAAAAAAGATACACAAATGATCAATCAGCACACGAATAGATGCACAATGTCTAGCTTTCAGGGAAATACACAGTGAGATACACAGCGGGATGCTAACACCAAAAAGACAGACAATAATGAGTATTGGTGATGATGGGGAGAAATTGGGACTTTCCTTCACTGCTGGTGGGGAGGTAGAATGGGGCAGCCCTTCGGAAAACAGGTGAGCAGTTGCTCAGGAGCATAAACATAGAGCTACCATAGGACCTAGCAATTTTGCTTCCAGGTGTCTACCCAAAAGGAATGAAACATATGTCCATACAAAAAACTTGTATACAAATGTTTCTCGCAGCATTATTCATAGTAGCCAAAGGTGGAAACAACTCAAATATCCATCAGTAGATGAATGGATAAACAGAACACGGTCCATTCATACAGTGGAATATTACTCAGCCATAAAAAGGAATGGAATACTGACACATGCTTTACATGGATGAGTCTTGAAAACTTGATGACACAAAAGGTCACACATTGAATGATTCCACTGATATGAAATGTCCAGAACAGACAAATCTATGGAAGCAGAAAGCAGACTAATGTTGTTTACAGCTAGGGTGGGGGATGGGA